TATATATATATAAATAATTTTAGTTTAGGGCTTAAGGCCTACATTAGAGGATAAGACCTGTGAAAGGAAGCCAAACCACTGTGGTCAATGTTGAAATCTACGCTAATGCAGTGTTGATCATACGGATAGTGAATGCTTTATGATTTAATGCTCTCTATCTATATTGCCAAACTTTTACTGAGACAAAAAATTTCCTTGTTCCTATAACTATAACCATAACAGTAATATTTAAGACTTAAAATATCCCACTTTCTATAAGCATGAATTCACTGAACACACATCTAAACCGGGTTTAGGTTAATGCTTTGTCTGATATCTAATGCATTTGTCCACTGATATTATCTTCTCTGTCCTGAGTCTGTCAAATCATATTTACACGAAATTAATTATTTAAGAATCCATTATCTCTGCTACAGTTGCTGGATGTGCAGTGCTGAGTGCGATCTAGCTACCAGGTGCTACCCTGAAAGCGATATAATTTGAAACTCAAGACAAGTCCCATCAGTGTGAACTGTGGAGAGTGAAGTCAGGGCGAGCTACAATTAAACTAAATTGATTTCCCTTCCTCAAGGAGGTGGTGCGATGGAATGGGAAGGCCATTAACATCGCATTCAGAGGTTACAGTATGAGCAGGCTTCTCTAGATCGTGAGGCAGCTAGAAAGCAGCCACATCACAAGGACAGACTGAATGACATCTAAATCATCTGATCAGAGGTGTGGTATGTAAGGAAGGAGCATTTTTCCTTATTCAGAAAATGGTACACAAAGAAAACATGTATATGGTGAATACTCCAGTCATAACAGTACCTTAATAAAGCTGTTTAATTTTTCATGGAGGTCATGGTAGCTGCCATGTTAACATCCCATGACCAGTCAAATACTCACTTCATCTTGCTAACTAAATAATAAATAATGGATGTATGTGAACAGAGAATTGTTATTATTTTTTATTTGTTTTGGGGGTTTTTTTACCATGGAAGATGTAATCCACCACTGAGAAAATAAAATAGCCACACTACCATTCAAAAGTTTGTAAGATTTTTTTTTCTTTTTTAAGAGATAAATACTTTTGCAAAGATCCATGAAACTGATCAAAAGTGACAGTAAAGACTATTATAATATTTCAAAACATTTCTATTTAAAAAAAATGCTTTTCTTTTGAAGTTTCTATTCAATAAAGCATCCTACATTTTTTTTTTTTTTTTACACAAATATTAAGTAGCACAATGGTTTAAACATTGATAATAAGAAATGAGCATATTACAATTACAGGATCATGTGACACTGAAGACTGGAGTAATAGCTCTTGAAAATGCAGCTTTGACATCACAAGATATTAAAATAGAAAACAGTTACTTTAAATTGTAATAATATTTCACAATATTATTGCCTTTACTGTATTTTGATCAAATAAGTGCAGCCTTAGTGAGCATAGGAGACTCCTTTCAAAAACATTAAAAATTCTTACTGACCCCAAGACATTTGCATGGTAGTGTAATTCTAGTTATTAATTCTAGTTATTCTAGCATTTGCATGCTAGTATAAATCTTACTCTATATTTCTCATAATTAGCAACTGTATCTTTCATAATCAGACATAATATTTCATAATGTGACTTTATATCTCACAATTTCTTTATTTCCTGCAGTGTGTTTTTAAACCTTTACTCTTCCATATTTCTACAGTCTCTTTCTCAGGCTTGCATATTTCTACAATCAGTAACTGAAAACTTAAAACATTTACATAACAGCAGAATATAAATCAAATTACTGAGTGCACCTATGTAAAATCTATGAATTCTGTCTATTACTAATGTAATAGCAAATTAAAAACGACCATAATATAACAATATATCACTTAATAATATAAGCATCCAAACATTTTGGTGGTCTTTACTCTTTAGTAGCAAACATTCAAAAATTAACATTTGCAGTGAACATTTAAGCCATACCTTCCCCATCCCAGGTGTTTCTTTGCTCTTACTAGCAGCTTGAAAAATGTTTGCTGGTGTTGGAGGAGGAGATTTCTGCAGAAGACTACTGAAGTTTGTCATGCGCTGGGAAGCACTGCTCTCTGAGAAGTGCCTTCCTCTTCTAACCATTACATTCAACTTCTGTGCTGCCCTGTGGATGTTCAGTGATTTGACAGAATTACAAAAACATTTCTTTGTTTTCTACAACACACACCTTTAGTTATTTTTTTCTGGTCAGCACCTATTACCTGACAAATAACGACAAGGCAGCAGATGTTCCTGCAGGTAGCAGAGAGGACATACTGGAAGAACGCGTTGGCTGTGTGGCACCGTAGTTGCATAGTGCTGTAGAGGTCACATTTTCCTTCTCATTCACCTTCCCTGCATGCAAAGGACTCTGAGAGGACTGAGAAAGATTTATCTTCACTGATATTGTCAAGCTCAGTAATTAAAGGAATAGGACAAATAAAAATTTGCTGAAATTTTTTTTTCAACCTCAGGCCATTCAAGATGTAGATGAGTTTGTTTCTTTATCAGAACAGGTTTGGAGAAATTTAGCATTACATCACTTGCTCACCAATGGACCCTCTGCAGTGAATGGGTGCCGTCAGAATGAGAGACCAAACAGCTTATAAAAACATCACAATAATCCACAAGTAATTCACACAACTCCAGTCCATCAATTAATGTCTTGTGAAGTGAAAAGTTGTGTGTTTGTAAGAAACAAATCCATCATTAAGGCATTTAATCCATCACTTCTGGCCATAATAGGAGTCCATAATCCATTATAACGCTTCCTCCAGTGAAAAGTCCATCACCTGTTGTCCTCTCACATCAAAATCCACCAACATATTTAGAAATGTTTTGGATGGTTGTTGCTTGTAAACGGTGCTTGATCCTCATTCTCTCCTGATTCAGACAAGACAACTTTTTCACTGCAGAAAGCAATATTATGGATATAAAATTCATATTTTAAATAGAAGCAATGGTTTAAAGTTAAAAGCATCTTATTGATTAATTTGTTTATTACAAACACACAGATTTTAATTTCACAAGATGTTAATTGATGGACTGGAATTGCATTGATTGCTTGTGGATTATTGTGATGCTTTTGTGAGCTGTTTGGACTATCATTCTGACGGCACCCATTCACTGCAGAGGATCCATTGGTGGAGCAAGTGATGTAATGCTAAATTTCTCCAAATCTGTTATGATGAAGAAGCAAACTCATCAACATCTTGGATGGCCTCATGTTGGGTATATTCATTTCTGGGGGAACTATTCTGAGTGAAGTATACACTAAATTGGACAGGCAATAGGTTTATACAGTTCAATAAACTTTAATTGAATGTCTTTCTGACATTGATTAAAAAAATATGCCAGTGTGAACACTACACCCTGAACATGAGTGTGTTTAATGCACTGCAGTCAGACGCTATTATTAGTGAATGCCACTACAAACTGAGTCATACGTGCAGATGAAGTCATGAACCTAATTTTATATGTGTCTCAGCATACGGGCAATGAATGCCTGAGGCTGCAGGCGCTGACGGTACAAGTCATACTTCAGTACAAAATCTAACCTCTTCTCAGCAGAAAAAAATACAGACTGTATTTCTTTGCCTCTGTTTGAGAAACCATCGCTTGGCTGCAGTCATCCGCATATCCAGAGTTACTCCCTGCCTTTATGTCTCATCAATGCTTCAATCCAGCCATGCGAAATAGGAGCCCCCTCTTTGCTCCCCTCCACTGGCAGAATGTTACGCCAATTAGCACTGGGAGCAACCCTCAGGCAGAGATGGCAATATTGGCCCTGCTGTTATTCCTTTCTCCAGCTCTGCTTTCTTTCCCTCACTTCTATGTCGTCCAGAGAGAATCTAAGATTTAATTATGTGCACATCTTATTTCCACCGTTACGCTTTCCATAAAAGCATGCTTATCAGTGTTGTGTGTTTGCTATTCCAAATAAAAATCTACAAAATGAATCTCTTCTGCTTTTACTCCATGCATTAATATATAGGCCTATATTTTTTAAATTCCACTCCAAGGGCTGAGTGAGTCCACCTTGTATGTTTGTGTAATGAAATGGAGCTGGACTAATGGACTCTGCCATGATGCTCTCGGTCAGCATCATATAAAGATCTGGTTCCTACTGAGTGCTGATGGAGTTGTCTGAGACATTCACTCTCTGCCTCACTTCCATAATGCGTTCTCATTTTATCTGTATTTACGAGAGCTGTGTATGAATATTTCACTGGTCATTAAATATTACAGCGATATTGATCAAGCTTCTTTTTCTCTGACAGGCTTCTCTGTGGCATGGATAAAATGTGGGTTTAACCATTCACCAGAAACAGTCCTTTGTCTGCTGCCTCTGGATCTAATCAAGGCCGACTAGAGGGCTGTGTATCATATGATGGCACACATGTGTCCTGGTGAGCAGACAGCTACACATATTTAATTTATATACTCTTACATTATGCACATGGATGATGTACTGGACATAATATATGAACGGCAGAGGAAGTGCTTCATTCTTTGCTAGAATTATTTGGAAAAGGAATACATACATTACCGCTGAAAAGTTCTGTAAGACTTTATCATGTTTTTAAAATAAGCGTTTTATGTTCACCAATGCTGCATTTATTTGATACTTTAAAAATATGGTAAAAATATTGTGAAATATTATTGCATTTTAAAATAATTGTTTTCTGTTTTAAAATGTAATTTATTACTGTGATTGTAAAGCTGCATTTTCAGTAGTCATTAATCCAGTCTACAGTGTCCCATGATCCTTCAGAAATCAATCTAATATTCTGATTTAATGCTCAAGAAACATTTTTTATTTACTACCAATTCTGAAAAGTTTTGGCTTCTTATTATTTTTGTGAAAAATTAATAGAGATTTCAAAAGAACAAAATTAATTTGAAATAGAAATATTTTGTAACAATGCAAAAATCTTTACTGTCAATTTTATCAAATGAATGTCTTTGCTGAATAAACGTCTACATTTCTTGACCAAAAAAAACAAAACAAACAAAAAACTTTTGAATGGTAGTGTATGTTTAGTATTATATTAAAGTGATAGTTCACCCAAAAATGAAAATTGTATCATTTACTCACCGTCATGACATATCAGAATATAATTTGAAGAAGTTTTTGTCTGTACAATGAAAGTCAAGAGGCTCAAAAAAAAAACACACAACCCAAATAACTTTCTATGGACGAAAACTTGAAAAACTTTAAATCTTCTTTTGTATTATACACAAATAAGAAAGTAAATGTGTTTTGAACAACATGAGGGTGATTAAATGAATTTTAATTTTTGGGCTAGCCAACCCTTAAGTATGGTGGCCGAGAGAGCTCAACACACTGCAACTTAAGAAAACATATGCAAATAGAAAAAGCACCAGCAAATTAAGAGAATATATTCATCAGTTTGACAACACATGTGCTGCAAATACTCGCAACACAACCAAACACAGAAACGTGCTGCAAATACGCACAATGCGACCAAATGCATAAAAGCTGCATAGGGGACCCCAACAACCCTTAATAAAGTTATAGTAAAAGTGTAGTAACCTTTTTTGGCATATTGATTACCATATACCATTTACCATGGTATAACCACAGTTGTACAAATACCATGGTTAAACTATGGTTGGTGTAGCAAAACCATGGTTAATTTGTGGTTACAATGACTTAACTATAGTAACCATGTTTTTTCTTTTAATATTAAAACCATGGTTAATTTTCGTAGGGGACGTTGTGCAAATTAGCTAGTCAGCTTAAATAACATTTCACAGTTACAGTAATTGTGTATTTCGTCGGCTTATTCAGGCTAATGATATCCAAAAAGCTAAGGAATCATATGATCACGATGTTAAAATAAACAAAAATCTCACCTTTCAGAGCAGACATTGATAAACACGTCCCAGCCATGGGTCGTCACTTGTTGCTGTTCCCTTAAACATTCCATTGTGGTCTGTGCGTATTTACAGCACGTTTCTGTATTTGGTTGTGTTGTGAGTATTTGCAGAGCGCTTCTGTATTTGGTCGCATTGTGTGTATTTGCAGCACGTTTCTGTATTTGGTTGTGTTG